TGAGTCCTCCTTACCTATTTTTCAAAATTTCATGCTTATTGTAGGGTTGACTTGTCAACTTCTTAGTTTTCTTAAAATCTGTTTTGTCTGATAATGATATTCCTATGTCAGGTTTCCTTTTAATAGTACATATTTTCCCATTCCTTTCAACTTTTTCATGTCATTATTTTTTAGATTTTCTCTTAGGACCATATAGAAATCTTTTTCTTTTTTTCCCCTTTCTTAAACCCATTCTCCTAAAATGATGGTGGATTTGACAGTTTCTCCTTATGGCTAAATCAGCATTTGCTTATTTTAAGATGATTTTGTTAGCACTTTGTATTCTGGTTTGGGATTTTTAAACATGCTGATAAATTGCTTCATTTTATCTTTTAAATAATGATCCTCTCTATCTCATTAATAATGATTTTCTCCTTTAAGCTAGTTTTCTTAATCTGTTTTTTAAAAAATCAGGTTCTGTGGTTATAGTAGGTTTTTGTTAGTGTTTACCTGGTATATTCTTACTTTGTTAGTGTTTACCTGGTATATTCTTACTTTGTTAGTGTTTACCTGGTATATTCTTTCTTTGTTAGTGTTTACCTGGTATATTCTTACAAAAAATTAACCTTTTTGTGTTGTTAGGTTTTATGCCTGTCTTTTGTAAATAGCATAAAACTATTATTTTCCTTTTAAATCTAGTCTTTGAATTACTGTCTTTTAGTAGATAAATTTTAATTTGTATTCATTTTACTGTGATTATCATTTCTTTGCATTATTGTTTTCACCTTTCCTGTCATATATTGGATTGATCCAGTTTTCCTTATTTTCCCTTTCTTTTTACTTTGTTTTAGAAGTTAGTATTTCACTCATAGGTGTACCATTATTTAATCTATTCCCTATTGTTGGTTGATTTTTAATTTTTGTTACTATACTAATACTTCAGTTAGCAGCCTTGTACATATATGATTCCACACATATGCTAGTAGCTCTGTAAATACATTGTACATGATTCCAGGTCAACGAGTATGTGTATTTTAACTTTTAATAAATGTAAATAATATTCTTTTAAAGATAAATTTATCCAATAAGCAGATTTTATGTGTCATATGTGGTTACATATATTGAAGGAAAGGGGAAATATTTTGTTTTAGGAGTGGCTACTACTGCAGTGTTATTTTTAAAGCATCTCAACATTGGTTGTTATTATGTCAGGATTGCCTATTTAAAAAAAATACTGAGGACAAAATTTCATGTATTTTTAATAATGGAATTTCTTAAAGCAAACATGGATACTGCCTTCCTTATCTGCAGAATTTAGGGAAAGCCAAATTGATGCTTGAGCTTCTGTAAGGAATTCATACAAGTCAACTTGAAAAACAGTTCCTGAAATTGGAACACATATATGCCAGGTACAGACAGCCCTCAACATTAGAACAATTTGAATTTCCAACATCATTGGGTACTTGGATACATTTTCCCATTCAATTTAAGAAAGGCCCTGAGCTGGGTGTGTAATACCAAAAAGGTAAAAAGGATTCTCCTTTCCTACGGAAACTCAGTCTAGAAGAGAGGATAGTGTATACACAAGTAACAAACCAAACATGGGGCACAATGCGAAGCACGTTTATGGAGAAGCTGTAATCTGCTTTGGAAGCATGGAGGAGAAAGATCAGTTCTAGCTGTAACCCTTTTTAGAGTTCTTGGCATGGGTTAAGGGACCACATTGCTGAGCTGTCAGCATTTGAGAAGGGACAGAATTTTCCCAAGTGGAGTCTGGGTATGATTGTTGAAGTCTTGCAGCACAGGTGAGAGGGTGAGATGGGATGGCAGTGACATTCATGGCAGTTTCATTAGTCAACCCTCCCCTTGTAAGGCAGGAACTGGCACCCAATTCCTTCTCATTGACTTTCTCTGTTGCTCTAGGCAGCAGCTGATAGATTGGGGTTAGTTAGTATCTGGTTATTGGCGGGTTTCAGCCAGTGGTAGAACATAGAGCAGCTGGTTTTGGGGCAGTGGGTGGGTGGGTTGGGGGGTGTTGTGGGGAAGTCAGGTGTATCTTACTGAGGTGGTTAGGATGGTTTTGGTGAAGAGGGATGATGAGACTTCATTGGAATTTCATTGCTGCTTATCTCCAAAGAGGTCAACCACAAGACATCTCTTATCACTCATCCCATGTTACAGATTTTCATTACACGGTGAACAGTGTGTAAATAGATCCGTATGTTGCAGCAGCTCTGCTGCACACCATTCCTAGTAGTCACATCAACAGTAGCATCATGTATAAAACCACTGTTTCCTAAGAGTTGGTTTATGAACCACCTCAATCTGAACCACGTGGTCAGTCTGGTAAAGATGTAGTGTCCTCAGCTCCATTACAGAATTAGAATCTCTGGGAGTGGGAGCCTGGGAGCTTGGGAACATGCATCTTGATAAGCTTACCAGGTGGGAATCCTTTGATCTTCAGTCATATGTAGAACTGTTTCCTGAATTGTCTGAGGAACTTTTATTTACACAAAATCATTTCTTTCAGCTTAGTGGTATAGTGAAAATGAAATATTCACTGTACTTAAACTAATTTCTGTTTTTAGACTTGAACTTGGAAAACTAATGGTGTGATTAAGTCAGTAAACATTTGAATGGGATATGAACATTCAAGATGGTGGTTCATCCCTCAAGGATATCACTTCTATTGCCATCATTTACATCCCAAAATAAATTAGGATATACTACGTTAAGTGCTAGTGAGCTGGGAAATCCTGAGCAGTACAGAGAAGGGTGAAAGAGTGATTAAATATAGAGAAGACACCATTGTGATGACATTTGAGGAACACACCTAAAAAAAATCTAGTACTTGTATGTATTAGATGAATGAAGACTAATACTAGAACACTTAGATTTGTTAAAATACAACAGTAACAGGCCAAAAAATCATGTGAACATTATTTCACTTAGCCTTACTGCTATGGGAGAATTTGAAACCCAAAGTAGAAAGCTAAATTCTTTTTTTTTTTTTTTTTTTTTTGAGACGGAGTTTCGCTCTTGTTACCCAGGCTGGAGTGCAATGGCGCAATCTCGGCTCACCGCTGGGTTCAGGCAATTCTCCTGCCTCAGCCTCCTGAGTAGCTGGGATTACAGGCACGCACCACCATGCCCAGCTAACTTTTTGTATTTTTATTAGAGACGGGGTTTCACCATATTGACCAGGATGGTCTCGATCTCTTGACCTCGTGATCCACCCGCCTCAGCCTCCCAAAGTGCTGGGATTACAGGCGTGAGCCACCGCGCCCGGCTGAAAGCTAAACTTACGTGCAAGTTTTTCCTGCCAGTTCCATTGTTTTCCAGTTATTAGCGAAGCACATGCTTGGTCAGCTTTTTGTGCTTGTGTCCTGTCTATGGGCCCTGTTATTTTTCTTAAAGCTCCCTTTTCAAGTTTCCTCACTTTTTTTGAGGTATTCACCATCATCTGTTTTCAGAAAATTTCTAATATTCTATGTTCTGTATATATTCTTCGGTCCACTGACTTGACTTTTTTTTTCTCTTCCTTTTCTTTTTCTCCTAATTTTTTAGCTACTGGGTCTATCTAACTGATGACAGTGAATATGAAAGGCTTGGTCTTGAGTTCTGTAAATTTCTGGGGAAGTGAATCAGATGCTAGATAATTCTCTTAACATTTTACAATTTTTAAAAATCTTTAGTTTGTAACTTTCACACACACACACACACACACACACACACAGACGCATACAGTCTCACATTCATATATATATCTTGTTACTTACCCCTTCCTCCAATCCAAACACAGACTCACTCTTACTCATGCTCCAAGAATTTTTGTAATGACTGAATGTACCAGTCAGGAGGAATCCCTCTAAGATGAGGAGATAGGCCGTCAGAAGCCTAGGACATCAGAGAAAACTGGTTCTTTGGATTGTCACCACAGAATTAGTGTTAGTTTGGAGCTAGAGTGTTCTTGGGGAGATCCGCTATGGTAGATCACTTGATTTAAATGACCGAAATGTAAAGGTCTGAAAGTTTGTGTTTAACACTTAATGCATAATAGACCTTGTGCTTTGCACATGCATGATTTCATTTAGGCCTACATCCTATGAAATATGAAATATATTCATCATTTTACTGATGAAGAAATTGAGGCTTAGAGGAAGATTAAGTAACTTTCCTAAGCTTCATGTAAGTGTACTTAAGTGCTCTTCAAATAAGGCATTTCCCAGCACAGCTTTTCTCTAAGTGCCTTTGTAATGCTCATAGGTTTTTATTGTAACAGCAGGAAAGTTATACTGCAATAGTTTATTCCAGCCCTAATGTTCTGAGACTTGGTGTCTTTAGGAAGCAAGCAGGATTTTGAAAAATTGGGACTCAAAGCAAGGAGCTCTCCAAATATACAGTGGCAGATATAATGAATTGAAGAAACATTCTTTTTTTTTTTTTTTTTTGATATGGAGTTTCACTCTGTCTCCCAGGCTAGAGTGCAGTGGCGTGTTCTTGGTTCACTGCAACCTCTGCCTCTTGGGTTCAAGAGATTGTTGTGCCTTAGCCTCCTGATTAGCTGGAATTGCAGGCATGTGCCACTACGCCTAGTTAATTTTTGTACTTTTAGTAGAGACAGGGTTTCACTTTGTTGGCCAGGGAAGTCTATAACTCCTGACCTCAAGTGATCTGCCCGCCTTGACCTTGACCTTCCAATGTGCTGGAATTACAGGCATGAGCCACTGCGCTTGGCCTGAAGAAACACTCTTGAATGTGTTCTGTTCTACCTGCATGGGAGCTCCATGGAGCCACAAGCTCATTCCAGGGGTTAGGAGAAGGAATTTATCTTGGCAGCACATATAACTTGAACAGAAAGTGAGGCAAAGCCAAGTGGGTACTCTTACATGAGAATACTGTGTCCTAGCAGTTGGGAATGTTCCCCTTAGTATCCTTATAATTTTCTTCCATTGTCTTTTTTTTGTGCAGATATCTTCTAAATTATAATTTGTACTTTGCAAAAGAAAAAGCCATAAAAATTATTTTAAATCAACTAAAGACTCATGAGATTTATTTGGTTACAGTGAATAACCCTGACAATGTTGAGAAGAGTTGTTAAAACAAGTATATATTAAAAATATTAACAATTACATTTGGTTACGTATTTGTAAGTGATGGTTATATAGAAAAACTGCATAGAAATCCAAACCTTAAAAAGTTTGCAAATCAAATCATTAGCTTTTCTCTTCTCCAACAAAGTAGGGTAACTACTTCTTGGATTAATCTAAAACATTAATGTAGCACTTGATTATCTTACAGAATAATTATCTATCTCACTTAAGCCTCACAATAACCTTGTAAAGTATTGTCCCCATTTTATGGATGAAGAAACAAGCTTAGAGTGGAAATGTGGAATCTCTGCTTACCCAGCAGTATTATGTGGCTAAGCTATTGAACTTGAACCTAGGTTTGGGTCTTCACTTCAAATGTGAAATTTTTGATCAAATATTTGTATCTTGTACAGAAAAAAAAATCTCATTAGTTTTCAGATGTTATTTACCATGCGAATTGTTAAAAATATTCTGTTTAAAAAATTCAGGGTCACGGCCTTTCAATTTCCCTTTAAGAGTCAAAAGTATTAATTTTAAACTGAAGTTGTCTAAACAGGAAATTGTTACATAGGGGAAAATACCAATTTTTAAATCTTTTAAAAAATGTTGCCAGACAATCCATGATATAACTGGAGATTAGTTGTCCTTCTAATTTTTAAATACAAAAATATGATAGAAATTTATGTTTAGCTCACATTTCTAACAGTTGAATCAAAGGTGTTTATGAATACTACAATGAACAAGCCAAAACCTGCAGTTAAAAATGACATGAATACATCTTCTGTTAATGATAAAAAACAAACGTGGACTTGACGTTTAAATGAAAATGTTTGCATTTAGGATAGTACTGATAAATCTTTTAAATAAACTTACTTTTAAAACTTAGTTTAAGGTTGAACATCCCAGTGACCAGATTATGATGAACAAAATTGAAAAATGATAAAGCCTGAAGTTTTAAGTTTATCCAGCAGGGTGACTCATGCTTCTTTGTCATCCTCCCACGGCAGAAATTTGTTCCATGTGAATGCTAGTAACAGGCATCATACCCTGTTAATGCTAACATGTAGGAGTCGGTTGGAGGTAAAAACCCCTATCACGATTAGCATTAACAGCATACAGCCTTCAGCACTCAAAGGATGAGGCATAAAGAATTTAAACCACAGATTTCCCCTTCCTGGTTTGTGCCACCTGCAAGAGAGAAAGAAATGTTTGTGTATGCACATGTGGTTACAAAGCTAGAGTGATAATATAGTAAATCTGAAAGGAAAATCATCCATTTTCTGTTGAAAGCAGGGAGCTCATTAAATCCTAGGAAGTCATTTGTTGAGAGTGGTAGAGGAATTGGCAATTAAAACATGACATTGTTACCTTTAGGCATATTTGAAGACTTTTAAATAAATTACGTTTTAAATTCTATTCTCTAGTTTTGAACCAGGTACACATGTGTATCATCTTCTTCAAAACAAAAACAAAAACTACTCTTCAAAGTTTCCAAATGCCAAAATGCAAATAGGGAAGCTTGCATTCTGACACAGTACAGTTTTTTTTTTTTTTTTTTTTTTTTTTTCTGATTTATACTTCATCTGGGAGCTAGACAATTAAAGGCCCAAATATTCAAAATACTCCTTTATGATTTATGAAAATTAAAACCCAGTTAACATGTTTTACAAAGGTAGGGTTCAGGCTGAATTTTTCATTCTGTAATAAATCGTTGAAGTTTTACCTTTATTCCTTCAGAAGATATGACACAAGCAGTGGAGGTTTGCCTACAAATGAATCTATCTGAAAATGTCCCCATCTGCTATTTAGAGATTCCTTTGGGGAAAGCATTACCCAGTGGCTTTGGTTTTGACTACATAAAGGAAGTATGACTTAAAGAGTCCTCTGTGTTTTGAACTACGTGTCCTAGGCAAAGGGTTGATTAAAAAAAAGATGAATTTGCTACTTCCTTTTAGAGTCTGATTTTACTCTTTCAGATAAAGTGACATTTCTCCCACAGGTTTCTGATTTCAGTGTTACTATAGCAGAACCTAGAAGTTAGAGTATCATTCAAGTATGTGGTCTCTTTCAGTACAAGAGGGGAATCACCTTTTCTTTTATTTAATAATGAAACCAGCTAGATATAAGAATGTGACTAAGTTCAAAAGAAACGTATGAAAATTCCCCAGTGAATATATTTTGACGGGGCAGAATATCGTGGTTTGGAAATTTCCAAACCACGGAAATATTTCATTTTTACTGATAGTATTTTTTTTTTTAAAAAACTTCGCTGTTTTCTGAGATGAATTAGTTGATGATGAAAAACTTTGGATTAAGTGATGTCATTTCAGGAATTTAATTCATTTTATAGAATTTCAGTCAATAAAGATTATAAAAATAAGGACTTTTTACCCCCCTTACAGGATCTTGGACATAGTAAATGCTCAATAAATACATATTAATAATCTAGTGTTAGTTCATTCCTCCCTAGCCGATATAACTCAACCTTTTCTTAAAAAGATGCATTTAATTTGTATTGAAGGTAAATTGCTTGCATACTATTTTACCCATAAATTTTACTCCTGTTCTTTAAAGGTAACATATGAGCACCAATATTAAAATAAATATATTTAGTATAATAATTGGCTTTTTTCATCTTTTTAAATATACATATGAATTGCCTGATTAGAGCACTCAGAAAAGTGACAAGTGTTTTTGATAATGTGTTATGCTATATTAAAAATTCTAATAGCCTTTTTTTATTGGTTCAAACTCTAAATGTATTTTGAAATAAAAAGTGTCACACAGGTCCCTTTTGTTCTCAAACACAACCTTGTCATACAGGCATGATGAATTCCTAACGCTGCAGAGAAATGAGAAGTTTGTCTAAATATACTGTAGAATCTTAAGTCATATTTAAAACACAACAATAAATGAAAAACAGTAATGAACAGAATAAAGGAGAAAATATCCCAGAATTGTTTTTTTCTTTTTAAATTTAAAAATGCTCAGTAGACTTTTCAGGACATTAGAATGACCAGAAGATCATTCATCCATCAGTGTGGCATCTACATCCATTTCCAGTGTTTTTGACTGGGCTAAGCAACCAATAACAGAATTGTATGTGCCTGAGTGGGAATTAGTGGTCATAGACAACAAAGGCCAGTCTGTTAGCCAAGGCATTGGGCAGAGGGTGCTTTCATGAGGTTATAAGAAATGAAGTAGTTCTTTCTGGAATCAGTGTGGCCGGTTAAAGTGACTGAGGAAGAATTATACACAATTATAGGCCTGACAATCAATAGTGACGATGCTAACCAAGTAAGACTGTGACAAGCATAATATTTAATGTATAGCAATACAAGAGGAATTTATATGATTTATACATTAGAAATTAGATTGGGGTCTTTGACTATGTAGTTCTGCCGATATACATCCAATCCCTTCCACAATACGTCTTTTGCTTACCACATGAAATATCCATTGTCAATATAAGCTTTACTATATAGCATAGGTTCCAAGTTAAGTGTTCTTGATAGAATTACTACTCACTGCCTGAGTATCAAAATCTCATAGTGGATAAAAATCTACCAAGAGGAAGCACTGTACATACCAGATTAATGATAATATCAAATATCTTTTATTATATGACAGGCAGTTCTTCTTCTGGTAGTAAGAATGAAAGTGAAGGAAACACTTAGGGAAATTTTTTCTTAAATTATGCTTTCCTTAAGGACATGTTTTTTTTTGGGGGGGAGGTGTGAGCATAAGTTTTCAGAATCTTATCCTTTATTCTTTTATCCTCTTATTCTTACCTTGTTGATTTTCCAGGAAAGATGTTATCAAAACTAATATTCAGAGCTTACTGTGTCCTAAGTTTGTCATTAAAGATCTGGTTTGTCCTTCAAAAAAAATTTTTTTTTGTGGTGAAATTTACGTAAGTTTAATATCTTAACAATTTTGAAGTGTACAGGTCAGCTATATTAAACACTTAGTCATAATGTTCTGCAGCCATCGTTATCATCCATCTCCATAACTCTTTATCTTGTAAGGATCTCGTTTTATGTCGAAATCAGGTTATATTGTTGCACAATTATATATATATTTATATTATTTGGCTGCTTATTCTCAGCACCCACCGTTTAATATTTGCATACCAAAGGAACTGCAAACCGTAAAGTTTTCTTTAAAAAAAGTTACAGTGGTCGAATTTCATAACCAAAGCCGTTGTGGGATAGCTCTCATTTTATTCACCCTGAAATATACAAATAATTTAAAACTATAATTTGTTGTTACAAAGCAAATGTACATCTATTTCTGTTGAAAGTCGGCTTATATTGATGTAGCAGTACAAATTCTTGATCCAAAGCCATTTTATGAGGTGAAATGTAATATAATTATGTTGCGGGAAATTCAAGCGATTTAGTTTAGGTAACTTCCTCTAAATATTTTCCCACTTTAACGTTTATGTGTATCAATCAAAAACATAATCATTAAGATGGAATAATGTTGATTACTATTTAGATCCATTTGCTAAAAGCAATTAGCATATACTTGCATATGTGGAAGCAGTATCTGGCTTTTCTATCAGAATTTATTCTGATTCTCTATATTCTAAAGCTGCAGTTTTGGTTTACATCATGGAAGTAAGCAGTGATTAATGCAAGTGTATAAAAATCAGGATTCTGTGACATTTGGACTTTTCATAATCTTAAGAATAACGATTTCCTTCCCTTTTACTTAAGACAGAATTCCTTACCCTTAGAGCCATCTCCTTTGGGTGGGAGAGCCAAGGTGACAGGTAAGGTCTCTGGTAGGTTGTTCTTGAAATGCAGACAAGTTACCTGGAGAAAGAGGGGTGGGGTTGAAGTTGACACATCACCTTAGACTTGTTTATTAGGTGAGTTAGCTAGTCATCTTTGAAAGCAGCGATCAAAGGCCGAGGAGAGAGGACCCAGGATAGGTAGATTTTAATGGGAATAAAGAGTAATGTGGAGGAAAGATAAGGATATGCCCCAAATAGTTTGGTAGTTCAATAGTTTTTTATTTATAATTTAAGCTCACACTTTTCATGTCCAGCATAAACTAGCAACAAATTAAGTATTTAGACTATCATCTGAGTTTTAGTTCTCTGATTTTCAACCTCTCTACGTGCTATAAAATGTCATATGAAGTGTTTAATTTCTCAGTAATTCTTCATAAAGACTGTTAATATTCTCGGGGAAAAAGAAAATCCAGATGTCTGCCTTTCTAACGTGTATTTATTTGTATATAGTTTATCACATATTTTCTGTAGAATATGATTCTGTGTTACATTTCAATAACTGACATTAAAGATCAGTCAACTTCTCTGCCACCGGGGAATGAGGTAAAGACTATTATGTTTCCTCCTGAATTCACATGAGTTCCATCATTAACAAGGAATTGATGGTGTGACTTACTACTGATTGAGATGGTGGCCAACTGGGGTTATGTCTTCTGAAGCACACAACTCATTTTCTAAGAGTAAAAGTGGATTGTTCTGTAGGAATAACTTATATCCTGAAATCTTGGTGCATGATAAGATCACCACTTTTCATATCATTAACTTTACATATAAGAAAAACTCCCTGAATAGGCCATTGCTGGGGGAAAAAATTATAAATTTGCCATATCATGGTATTTCATTTACTTCCATAAAAACTTAACATTACTTCTTAATATTTCTAATTGGGAGCTCTTTATTGAAAAATATTGACTATTTCTAAATTAAGAGCTCCTTATTGAAAATAGCAGTTTATACACTAAATAGCATAATATTCTTTTTTGTATTTTGAGAATTTAGAAAATAAATGTTTTTAAAGATATATGCCAATGGTGATACTTAACACATAAAGGTGGGATGTACTTTTGAACTGTCTTAGAAGAAAACCAATGTGGATACTACAGAATCACTGTGGAAATGTTATATATCAGTGACCATTTAGTTGTAAATGCACAAAAGAGAAAGAATGTCAGCCTTAGAGGACTATCCTACTTTTCCCAATTTTAGAACCAGGAAGTTTTTACTGAAATGGCTTTGTGGAACTTATTTAGAAGCTAAGTAACCTTCCCAATAGTTTTATTATGGACAGTAATTAGTGTTTTTACTTTTCAGATGAAGATGTTGAAAAAAAAAAAAGGTTAGGAATTCCTCCCCCCACCGGACTCATTCTGTGGAATAAGTAGAGGCAGGATGACAGCCAGCTGGAGTCTGACTCCCTGACGTGGGCTAGTGTGTCCCAGGGAGGGAATCACTTCCTCAACACCCTGACATCACACTGGCTCAGTGGCAGGTCTGACTGTACTGAAATGTTATAGAATAAATGTGAATAAAGCTGTGAGTAGGAAGGGGAGAGCTCGTGGGAGAGATGCATTCTGTTGCCTTAAGTGATGGCCATTCTTTCTTATTTCCACAAAACGTTTTCCATTTGCCTAACAAACTTTTTAATATCATACTTCCATAAGATAATTTTAATACTTTTTAAAATTTATAATTTGATTTTGATGTCCTTTCCCCCCACTCCCAGGGAACAGAAAATAGGGTGGCTGTTATCTGCTCTGGAGTGTTTTGTTACCCTTCCATGAGGACTCCTTTGTGCATTTGAGTTCATTGTTTATGCTCAACACTGAATTTCAACAAAATGCCTCATTTGGAACTTATGTGTTACCTGTTTGTTATTTATATCCATATGTCTGCATCATGGGAGAAAATTGCTTTTCTATTTCTGTAAGCCACAGTTTATCTTTTTCTCCTTCCACATACCATAATGGCCCAAGCAAGGAAGAATTTGTGTACCAAAAACTATTTAAGGCAAACAAAGAAAATTCTGTAAACAAAAGGTTTGGTTTTGTCTTTCTAAAAATTGGTTGTCTTACATGGATGGGATACCCTGTGTTATAAGGCAAAGACCATTTACTTGTTACATTCTCATGACATTTGGCCCAATGCTTTAACAAACCAAATGAGGGTCATGTTTGCTGCTCCACAAGATGTTATCATACACACTCTTAGGCACTAGATATACCTCCTTCAGGGTGTTCAAGTATGGACCCGTCCTCTTTGCCTTCCTTCTCTTGCTCTCTCAGATAGCACACTCCTGGAGGCTGTTTTCTCCTCATCTTCTGGTGGGACCCTGCTTCTCTGTTTTCCCTAAGGTGGCTATTCCTCTCTCCATTCTCTGTCGGAGCACTTATCACACTGCATGGTAATTATTTCATGTGTCTCTTCTTAGTGCTGAGGTGTATGTGATGGCAGAGACTGGGTCTTCACTCAGTGCTGGATATACAGCTGACAGATACTCACTAAATACTTTTGAATAAATGTTTGAGAGTCTCCAAAGGCATTTCTATCTGCGCAGTGGGCTTTTATTTGGCACTGGAGCATTTCAGGACTTAACTGATATGCAGGTTCTTGGAGGATTTGGTAGAAGTTTACAAATGTGGAGATATATTAGTAAGATTTGTTGGCTTTCCAAATTAGCAGTGGACCCTTTTTAGAAGATTCTGTCAAGTATAAACAACATGAAGTTGGAGAATATTGGTAGAAGTCATCATCTGGACTTGTGGGTAAAAATTAGGTTTCATCCCTAATTTTAAAAATTACTCTTGGACGCCATAATCATGTGTTTTCATTGCATAGAACCATGTCCTTGTTCTTAGGAGATCTGTGCTGAAGCATTTAGAAGTTAGATGCCAGGTGTGGATACAGATATAGACACACAGAGAGAGACAGAGATGGATAGGGACAGAGAGAGATAAGTCAATGTGGCAAATATTAACAATTAGCAAATCTAATTGAAAAGGAGTGTTCATTGTTCTGTTGTGTTCAACTTGCCTGGGTTCCATTCCAGACCTCACCAGTGTTACTAGCTGTGTGGTATTTGGCAAGTTAATAAACCTCTTTAAGTCTTAGTTGCTTCTCTAAAAATGAAGATAAAGATAGAACCTACTCAGAAAGTCTTTGTGAAGATGAAGTGGCAGTGTAAAGCATTTAGTTGGGTGCCAGCCTCAGAATCAGGGCTCACTGAATGTTAGCCACGATATTAATGACATCGGTCATCAATACTTGCTGAGCACCTTGTAACCCTACCTCTATCACATGTTACACTTGCTGTTTTAAAAGTACAATCCCAGATACATTTACCACTGGATAATTGAACCATTGTATAAATTAGAGGTTATCTGCAAGCAGGTAAAAGCCATGTAAAATAATTCTTTGGTTTATCCTAATCTTTAAGTCATAAAGTAACTGCTAAAAGGTACACCAAAATGTTTTCTTGGAAATAATTTTCAGAACGCTTTTAGTAGTTTTTCTTTTGGATATGCATTCTGAAACAAAAATTATAAAAACCGCTTGAGGTCCACTTGACCTCGGCTATTTGGCACAAACTGTAAACTAAATTATGAGCATCGTTAGATACCTTGGCCGTTTCAAATCACACAGGGTCCTGGATCTGCTGTGTGATGCTGAAGTAACTTCACTTCTGTGGGCTTCAGCTCCCTCAGTGTGGTCTCTGAAAATTCATGACACAGTAAAAAATCTTTGAAAAGTCTCTACTTCCTCAGACTGCAGTTGTATCTCACCTTCCATATTGATCTCTTATAATACACAAGATCATCCATTTAAACATAATAATAGGAAACACCTACACAGGGCTCCCTCTGTGCCAGGCACCTAAGTGTTTGATGTATACTAACACAGTTATTCCTCCTCACAACCTTAGGAATAAGTACTCACATCCTCCCCATTGAAACACAGTGTCTTGAGGCACAGGTAGGTTAAGTAACTTGCCCAAGGTTAATCAGTGAGTAAGGAGCATGCTGTTGCGATGCCCACCTGAGCAATCTGGCACCCATTTCTCATGCTCAGAACCATTATGTGTGTGAGCATATAAAAGACCATAGCATTTTGTTAAGATAGCCAGGAATTTATAATTTATGTAGAACACTCTCGTTTATGGAAAACTGGCATAAATTTCATTGTAGGTTATTGTTTCACCTTATCCAAACATCAGCCTGATAATTCCATTAAATCAGCTATTTGATATTCTTCACTAATCTTTCCTTCTGCCAGTGCCTTAACCCTGTCTACCCACACAAGGTAGCAATATCTGTGCTAATCCATCCTGATAATCGACACAGATATTAGTGATCTGTGTTAGTTGATTAATATCTCTGCTGTTTCTCAGAACTAGCACAGACATTCACAGTCTGTTTTAAACTACAGCCACTTAACCTATGTTAAGCCTCACTTTCTGGTGAGTGTGTCACAGTGTATAAGGATGTTCATTTTAGGAATCAAGTGTTCTTCCACATTGCTGAGCCTTAGACTTGTGAGTGAGGATGCGGAACAGCTCAGACAGGATGTGCTTATTTGAGGATAGATGTGCTTTTGCGCCGGTTTTGCTGGAGGATCTGAATATTGTAAGCCCAATGACACTGATTGATGAACAGAACTTAAGTGCTTCAGGGCAGATGAGAATTACGCAGAAGTGATCATATTAAAAGCATTGCATTAAGAGTCTGAGATAAGGTAATTTTTTTTCAAATATATGTATGAAATTCATATATGAAAATTGTAACCAGTGAGAGGTGGGATAAAACGAGACTAAAATTGTAATATTTTTCCTTGAAAAATAGTGTTTCACAATTTTTTTTTATTCTCTCTAGTTTAAGGAAACATGTAACAGTTTTGAGTCCAGTAAAGTCAGTGAAAGACAAAAATACATTCTGTAGTGAATTACAGTGGTATTTACTCTTTCTTTGGACATAGAGGATATAAATTCACTAGGACCAGCTGTGTCTCACGAGGTATATGAAAGTGAGCTTGGTAGTTACACTGGAATCCCAGAATTTCATCACTGAAAGGGATTTTAGAGATGACTCAGTCCCTGTTACCCATCTTAGAGATGAGAAAAATGAGGCACAGAAATTTGCAGAGTTGGAACTAGAAACAAACCATGATTCTTAGGCTGTGCTCCTTCCCCAGTAGCAGACTTCTGCAGAGTGGAAGCCTATTATCAAAACAGTAAGGCTGTTGAAATCAGTAGCTTCAGCTAAACAATAGCCAATGGCTAACAGAAATGGGGACACTGACTGGTTAAGGACAGAGGTGCTCAGTCCAAGTGAAGGCCAAGAGTCTACATACCACTTTCCTCTATTCAAGCTAGTTACGCCTGCTAGGTTTAGAATACTGATTTTGAATGTGAACCCACAAAGTGAACCCTCAACCCTCATGGCTGAGATTAAAGGAAGCCTCTAGTCTGCTGACATCAAATTCAAAATTGTGTGTGAGGATGCACATTAAAAAACATTTTCTGGGAATAGCATACATAGCTTCCATTAGATTCTCAAGGAGGTAGGAATAAAAGAATTGAATAACTATTACTTTAAAATGAAAGAATTCCTTTAAATTGAATGGTAGATCTTATGAAAGCTGATAAAAAAAACTTTTTAGAAGTTAAAGTGTAGGGCTTTTTGGGGTAGAGTTTTTTGAATTGCAGAAGACTGTTAAGATGAGGTATTGAAAGATGAAAGTTACAAATTTTCCTTGTTGGCACATGGAAAGTGAAGAATGGCAAAATTCATAGCAAATTCTAATTAGTTCATGTATTTACGTTGCTAAATTGAAATGATATCAAATTGCATAGCAACGTCCTCATAGCCTTTCCTCTAACTTTTTGGGTTTGTAAGGGTAGGGTTGTGCCTATCTTGCTCACCTTTGTCTCTCCCGCCTCTAACATAGCATCCAGCACAGGCAGACTGTGATGACTTTTTTGGGGGGTAAATACCAATTAATTACACGTTTGACACATGATTAGGTTAACACAAGAGTAGACATTTGTCCAAACATCACGGTTCTCCCTTGAAGTGGTTGTAGGTCTCAGCCAGTGCTAATTTTTCTCTTTCTTAATGTGTGTGGTTAGGAAGCCAGGTCCTGTGGCCAGAGTAAGTGGACCCACTGTGTGAGGAAACTTGCTTATCACAGCCTAATAAGGAGTAGTTCTTGTGGTGTAAGTCAATACTAAATGGGCTTTGGTCATTTGACAGAAATCAGGGAGGCAGCAAGGAGTCATGGAAATGAGCCCAAACTGGGAGTCAAAAGTCTGTGGTCTGCCGACACCCCTAGCCCACATCCGTACCTAAAAGCAGGCCGTGCACTAGGGACCTAGTGACCTTACTAGAAAAACTCAAATTCTCAGAGGCACAAGTCCTCATGGGCAAAATGTGGATACCACCACCGAACCCTGCCAATTTCCTATCATTGTGACTATCAAATTAGCCCACAGGCAGGAAATTGCCTTGAAACTTTTTATAGCTTATATTACTGTTCACATAGATAAGCAATTAACTTTACATATATCCATTTTTGAAAGATCAGTCTTATGATTAAAAGTTCGACTACCCTAGTTCACTTCGTTTATACATTATGCTAAAGCCCTATAAAAGAGGCACTACTCCGGAGAGATATCAATTACAAGCAATAATTTTGGCTTTGTAATATATACATAATGTCCACTTGACCTCATTTATTTGAGACAAAATGTAAACTAAATTATGAGCATCATTAGAAACCTTGGCCTTTTCAGATCACACAGGGTCCTGGATCTGGTCTGTCGTGCTGGAGAAGTAAGTTAACTTCACTTCTCTGGCCCTCAGCTCCCCAATTTTTGACATACTTTGCATTCTTATATATTTGTCAGCTGTCAACTTCAGTATTTTCAGGTTAAATTCTATCTGTAGTGATCCCAATATACCTGCTTTAGATGATACAAACTTCAAAAGATCCGGCTCTCCCTCGTAAAACGTGGAGAACAGACACCACGGGGGTTTTGTGAGAGTTAAGAAAGGCAACCGCTGAGCAAAAACGTACCCTGGCACAACGGGGGTGAATAAATACAGAAGCTCATTGAGCGTTTGCTCCATCTTCACTTCTATTAAATGAAGACACTGATATCTAAAATGCTATGAGTCTAACTTTGTAAAGATTAAGATAGATTTGTAGTTATTTTTCAAGATAAAATAGAAAAGACACAAATTTTGAAGCCAGTCTCTTTTGATCCATCCTGCCCTACTGGTGTGTTATACACACTTCTCTGGCCGCTCCAAAAGGGAAGCTTGTCCAAGGCCATATCACAGGTACCTCCCCTACCATCCCAGGAAACTTTGCAAAGAAGCTCAAGTATTAGGTTTCTAACACCCCTCCTTCCCCCGCCTCTGCCCGCGGGAATCCATGCAGCGCAATCTCTGGTCCCGGGCGAGGCGACACATCTGGGTCCCCAGGGGGCACCCTCAGGCGCAGCGGGGCCAGGCCAGGCTCTGCGGCCACGTGCGCGCCGCCCCTGCCCTGCCCTGCCCTGCCAGTTCGCCCCGCTGCGACCCTCGCACCGAGGTCCCCCCGCGTCCTTGCCACGTTCAAGAAAGAAAAGGCAAGGCGGGCGGGAGCGCGGGACTGAAGTCTGCGTACCTGCTGTGCCAGGAGCGTCTCCTCGGTTCCGCGCGCTGGCTCTGCGGGCGGCTCGGGGCTCTGCGGGCGGCTCCCTTCCCGAGGCTGCAGGCGGCGCTGGGGCCCGGGCTCGGCGGCTCACAGGAAGCCCGCGCCTGCGAACGTGCGACCCTTTTATAACTCGCTGTGACTCATAACCGACCAGGCGCCTTTCTGCAAACCCCCCGCTTCTCCCCCCTCCTGCCTGTTCTTGGAACCTACAGCTTGAAAACTTTTTTCTTTTTAAAGGAAAAGTCGAAAAAGCCCAGCGCCCGGGGAATTGGTGTTTTCCCCTTTCCCTTTCTCGTGTGTCATTGCATGTGTGTATTTTTTTCTCTCGACTCGCGCCGTGTACTTTCCTGCGCCCAGCGCTGCAAGGCTCAGGCTCCAACCTTTGTTCTTAAAGAAAAGGAAATGCCTTCAAATGACGGCCCAGACGTCGCCCGAACTTTCAGTCGGCCTAAGGGGGAAGTGGCGACTTCTTGCAACTGGGTGGCAGGGGTATCTCTACTCTCTCCTTGCAGCGAGCCCAAGAGGAGTGAGTGGGAGGTTTTTCCTCCTGAACCGAGTCAGCTGGAGCCAAGCAGGTCCCTAAGAGAGGAAGAAATGGTCTTCAGGCAGTCCTGTATCTCATCCCTACCTCAGCAGCCTTCAAGAGCCCGCGTTTGGTTTGGAATATGTAACTGGGCTTTGAGAATGTTTGTACTGTGTCTGGTACGCGCATTCGGGATGTCAAGATATAGGACTTGAAACTTAAAATTTTAACCTCACCAACATTCTCCCCCGGCCCTCCGAACATACTCCTGGAGCATATGGGACTTAGGTCATTTTAATTTTTGGTTTCATCGCCATTCTTTTTTCTGCACCCTGCCACAAAGGGGACATTTTCCTGGAGCAACCGTTTGATTTTTGGGGATGGAAAAGAACAAATAGATCCTGCAAGCCTTGTCGAGTAACTCATTCATGCGTCTCAGTTCAATAAACGTTTAGACCTTGAAGAAGAAGAAGGAAATATGAGGAAGAGAAGGAAGACAGGAATAGACCTAGCCTCATCATCATGTGACTGGGGCCTTTTTGTAAGAAAGACAGGGCCACTTCTGGTTTGCATTGCAAGTATCCAGTACTTGGGCCTTCCCTGTCAAGGGCATAAGACATTTTAAAATAGTTTGTATTAAGCTGATATCAGTCAGTTTCTAGGACCCCTGAATCCATGTCAGAGCTGGAAATCCCACAGTAATTTACAGATGGCTCAGGTTGGTTAAGGAACTTGGGAGCATTTAAAAACCCTCTTTTGTTAAGATATGTGTTTTTCCCCTTATATTCAAACAACAATAATCATGATAACCACTAACACTTATAAAGCATTTAACATGTTCTAGGTCCTGTGCTAACACTTCTTACGTGCATTAACTCTTCCAGGTCTCACTATGATCATATGAAGGAGGAGCATTATAATCTCTATTTCCAGATGAGGAAACTGAGCACAGAGAGATTAAACTTGTTAACTTAGGTTCTAGTAAGTAGTCAAGTTGAGATTCGAATTCAGTTCCAAGCCTGGAGGGCTGGCGCCATAGTCCAGTCTCCCTGCTTTCCAGATCCATGTGACATTGAGGAGCTGGGGAAGCTGTACAGGGGGGCATGTGGCAAGGATGCATGGTCCCCACACAGGTGGATCATGTCTCTCTGCTGGTTATAGATGCCTACAAGGCCTTCTGAATTTCCCATTTCTCATTCTAGGTTGAACTATATGAAATTTCCCATAGGCAATTCTAGGATGATGTTTTATCCCTAGAATGGCAAGTTTGTATAATTCAGTTTAATAGAAGCAGGACATTTCTCAATCTTCCCTTCTCCCAGTGATGGAAGTAATTTCAGGTTATGTGCAAACCTCCCCATTTTAGGTCCCAGTTTGAGATACCCGGAATACTGGAAGGAGAAATGGGTTTTAGGAGTCAAATCCGCCTGCATTTTACACTAATTCTAGCTGTGGAATCTGAAGGTTAACCTTTCTATGTCTCAGCTTCCTATAAATGACAACAATAATGTCTCCCATTAGGGATTGCTATGAATTGAATCATATTCTCCTTAACTTCTTATGTTGAAGCCCTAACCCCCAGTGTTATCACCATTTGGAAATATGGCCTGTGAGGAGGTAATAAAGGTTAAATAAGGTCATCAGGGTGGATCCCAAATCTCATAGAGCTAGTGTCCTTATGAGAAGAGGAAGAAGCAGTAGAATTCCCTTTCTCTCAGAGATCAGACAAAGCAGAGGTCATGTGAGTATGCAATGGGATGGTTTCCTATAAGCCAGGAAGAGAGTCCTCACCAGAAACAAAACCCTACAGGGCCTTGATCTGGAATTTTCTAGCCTCCAGAACTGTGAGAAAATCAATTGTTGTTGTTTCAACCACCCAGTGTGTGGTATTTTCTTATGGCAACCCTAGCTGACTAAGAGGGATATCTATGGTGATTAAATAAGGTGATGGATAAAAAGTACCTGTTCCAAATGGATAGCTTGAGAAAGTAAGGGCTGGCCACCTGCCAGGACAAATATTATCCCATGGATGTTGTTGTGGGCTGAATCATGTTCTCCTCCTGCCACCTCCCAAATTTGTCTATTGATGTCCTAACACCCAGTACTTCAGAAAAGGTTGGGTGTGTGCAGAGTGGTATGGCCGTAGACCACCCAGTACTTCAGAATATAACCTTATTTGGAAACAGGGCCTTTGTGGATGTAATTAGTCAAGATGAGGTCCTATTAAAATAGGGTGGGCTCCTAATCCAGTATGACTGGTGTCCTTAGAAAAAGAACATGATGTGTAGAGAAAGAAACATGTATAGAAGGAAGAGAGTGTGAAGAAACATTGGGAGAAGATGGCCAGCTATGAGCCAAGGAGAGGGGCTTGGGACAGATCCTTTCTCCACAGATCTCAGAAGGAACCAGTCCTGCTGACATTTTGATCTCAGACTTCCAGCTCACAGAACTATAAGACAATTCATTTGTGTGGTTTAAACCACCCAGTTTGTGGTATTCGGTCCCAGCAACCCTCACAAAGTGATACAGATGTATCTCCAGGGCTGATGGGGCTGGTGTTCTCACCCCTCCCATTACCCTCCAGAAAGCGAGCAGCTATCATCAGTGACCTTCCAGATAAGAGTGGTACTTCTTGATATTACTTAATATTGATAATGAGGAATATATTGTGACAGCTGGCACAGCTACAGATCAGTCTTGCTAAAAACATCATAGGTTTATGAAATTCTACAGAAACCACAATAATCACAGGAAATGGTTAGGAACCAGCCTCCAATCTCTCTCCTTAAAAAAAAAAAAGTGGCAGAAAAAATAAAAATAGTTTCTGGAGATTTAGTACTCAACGATCTTGAAGCTCAGCCCTTTGGAAGAATGTGAGAGAGACATTTCTCAGAATGGATAACACTTTTTAAATAGTGGGTGAAGAAACAGACTCACATTTCAGGCTTGACCAGCTTATTTATTGTGGCACAGGGTTTCAGTTCACTGTTTACCCTGTTGTATAATAACATGGAGATAATTAATTATTCTGTGAACTTGTGGTTGCTCTTCATCCCTGGGGATAAGTGGGTTGAATTGGCTTCCTTTGTACTCCATCAGTGGTACAACCATAATTAATGCCTGAGACTAAAAAATGTAGCCATAATATATTCACATTTCATACAGAGTGTTTGTTTTTATTTTTCACAGGCAAAACATGAGAATGTTTTTTCCTATTATAATTTAATTTTTATTTCTTTCACTGTTTATAACATTTGGAAGCCCAATTCTGGTCTGTGTTGTTTTCACCCACATTTCCTCCTTAAACGGGTTGCTGCTCTGGAGTGTTATGTGATACTCTTAAGCATACCTTTCACTTCAGAGGGTAAAGGAGTGGCTTTTTTTTCCCTCTCTCCATCATATAGATGAAATTTACAAATTAGAGAGAATTAACTTTTTAACCTTATTTTTCCCATTCACCCCTCCACAGCAAACAGTGGAATAAAGTCAAACCTCTGCAGAGGAGACTAGTGTTTTCTGTAGTGAGTTACAGGCTATGTTTAGTTGTGTTCTAATTGTTTAATCATTTGTACCCATCAAATGCCTCTTAAGAATTCTTTCGTCTATACATACACTGCCTTCCATAGATAACTTTTTTCATAAATGTAATATTTAAAGTTTTTTCATAATGCACATTTTTTGCTCTTGGCTCATTTCTTCATTTGTACATTTTGGGAAGCCAGGTTGTCACAGTCTTTTGGAAATTTTCATATAATAGAGGAAAAGTTAGGTTCTGGGGAAAAGACCAAGATTCTCAAAACCGTTTGGTTCGTGAACAACTTTGGCAGGGAATCATTCTGCTTCCATATAGATGTCATCATCATCACATCACAAATAGAGAAAATTGTTCCACTTGCCCCCTCATTCCCCATAACACTCACTTCCCTCAGTATCTGACCTCAGCCATATTCTTTTTTGTTTGTTTTTGTGATGGAATTTTATTCTTGTTACCCAGGCTGGGGTGCAATGGTGCGATCTCGGCTAATCGAAACCTCCACTTCCTGGGTTCAAGTGATTCTCCTGCCTCAGCCTCCTGAGTAGCGAGTGACCTTATCCATATTTTTATCTGAACTGGCCTAGCTCAGTGTTTTAAGCTTCAGTTTGTGAACTGATGAGTCACTTGTAGTAAATTACCCTATACTGTCTTTTTTCCCCCCTCCTTCCTCTCTGAAATTACTGGGGAGACTTCTCTGAGCACCAACAATGACTGTTGTTATTTTTTTTCAACTTTTACTTTATATTCAGGGAGTACATGTGCAGGTTGGTTATATTGTGTGATGCTGAAGTTTGGGGTATGATTAAACCCGTCACCCAGGTAGTGAGCATAGTACCCAATAAGCAATTTTTTATCCCTTGTCCCGGCCCTTCCCTCCCCATCTTACAGTCCCCATTGTCTATTGTTCCCATTGCTATTTCCATGTGTACCCAATTAATATTTTTTGAGACAAAGTCTTGCTCTGTTGTGCAGACTGAGGTGCTCACTGCAGCCTCTGCCTCCCAGGCTCAAGTGATTCTCCTGCCTCAGCCTCCTGAGTAG